ACTAATGCTATGTTCCTTCTCCAATACTCCCACTATCCTATCGTTCAGCAGCTTACAGAACGCCTTTCCTACTGTGTTAAACAGTGTGATTCCCCTGTAGTTTCCTGGGTCAGTTTTGTCTCCGTTCTTGAACAAGTTCACAACTGCTCCTTCCCTCCATCTACTTGGCGAATACCACTCGTTTTTCCACACCCAATAGTGTAGCAGTACCATCAGCTGGATCATCCCCTTCCCCCCAAACTTCATGAACTCGTTGACTATCCCATCCACTCAGGCCGCTTTGTGGCACTTCAGCTTGTTCACACACGCCTTAACTCGTCCTCAGTGAACTCCTTTTCAAGTTCTACGTTCCCAACGTATGCCTTATTTGTCTCTTCTTCTTGTTGGGCCCATGCGTCCACCTCTTTCTTAAACACTTGGTCAAAAGCTTCATTCTCCGAGGGCACTCCAAGTCTCTTGTAGTGTCCTGCTAGAACTTCCCTTTTTCCCTTCCCACTGCTGACTAATCCACCGTTCACACCTCGCAAGGTTGCGACCCCTGTATCCCCCCCTTGCGCGATCTTTTTTACCATTCCACTTATCCCTTCCCACATCTGCTTGACGTTTCCCTCCAGGCCTCCGTTGGCCTTCTGCACTACTTCGTCCCAAATACACTTTTTCTTCTTTTTCACTAGTCCCTTCACCTGTTTTCTCTTGGCCCTGTACTTTTCCCAACTCTCCTCAGACGCCTCACTCAGGTACTGCTTGAAGACTTCTCTACGTTCCCCTATTTCTTCTTTCAGCTCGTCATCTCACCGCTTAACCGATACCCCACATCGTACCACCTGCTTTCCCACTACTTTCTCTGCCGTTGCGTTCACTATGGACTCCCACCCTTCAATCGCCCTGTCCCCTGCTGCTTGTACGTCTACCTGTCCGTCTTCGACGCTTCTCAGCAGTTTCCTGAAGGATTCTACACTACCAGCCAGCCCCTTCTGGAATTCATCCCGTGTCCCATCGTCTCCCAAACGCTCTACCTTCCACCGGAACACTTTCCTCTGTTTCTTACTCTTGATCTTTCTGGATCGGTCGATGTTTGCCCATATGAGGAAGTGGTCGGTCGAACCTAT